TTGTTTTTAAAGCATAAAGGTAAAGATTTATTAGTAGTTGAAATTTATGTTGATGATATAATATTTGGTTCTACTAATGATGTTCTTTGCCAAGAACTAAGCTAATGCAAAGTGAATTCGAAATGAGCATGATGGGGGAGTTTTCATTTTTCTTAATACTCCAAATCAAGCAAAGAAAAGATGACATCTTCATTAATCAAGCTAAATATGTCAAAGATATGCTCAGGAAGTTTGGACTGGAAAATGGGAAACCCCATGACACTCCAATGAGCTCATCAACAAAGCTTGGCATAGATGAATGAGGTAAATGTGTGGATGTTAAATTATATAGGTCAATGATTGACTCTTTGTTTTATCTAACTGCAAGTAGACCTGACATTATGTTTAGTGTTTGCTTATGTGCTAGATTTCAATCATGTCCTAAGGAATCACATTTACTAGCTATTAAGAGAATCTTTAGATACCTTAAGGACACTCCTAGTTTAGGACTTTGGTATCCTAGAGACTCTAGTTTTAGCTTGTATGCCTTTCTAATGCAGATTATGGAAGATGCAAATTAGATAGGAAAAGCACCTTCGGTACTTGCCAATTCCTTGGAAATATACTGATTTCTTGGTTTTCAAAGAAACAAAATTGTGTCGCATTATCTACCACTGAAGCAGAATATATTTCAGCCGGTAGTTGTTGTGCACAAGTTTTATGGATGAAACAACAACTTTTTGATTATGGAATTGAAGTAGGTAACATTCCTATCAAGTGTGACAATACTAGTGCTATTTGTCTCACTAAAAATCCCATCCAACACTCTAGAACTAAGCATATTGAAATAATACATCACTTCATTAGAGACCATGTCGCTAAGGAAGATGTGGTTCTAGAATTTGTTGATACTTTGCATCGATGAGCGAATATATTTACAAAGCCTTTAGACAAGGAAAAATTTTGGACACTTAGGAGAGAATTAGTTTTAACTGACCTATCTTCACTAAGTGTTTAAAACAATTTTAGCACTTTTAAATTTAAATGAAAAATGCTTATAATAATAATTTTTTATTGCATTCTTTGCTATTAGTTAGGGGGAGTTTATGTTATTTGGTAAAAATTAATTTTATGTTCAAATGTAGTTTAAAGATTAATTTGATTGATTAAACATTATTAATTTTCAATAAATGAGTTGCCAATACCACTAGAGCTAATTAATTTAGCATTTTGAGTGTTTAACACGGATTTTTGACATTTTTGTGCTTAGTGCATCGATACACTTAACAGTGCATCGATGCATCCCTTTGAATGTGCATCGATACACCATGAAAGTGCACCAATGCACGCCTTGAATGCGCATCGATGCACAGGGTCATGCATCGATGCATCCGTCGGGTTTTGGGTTTAAAAGGATTATTTTTCTCATTTGTTTCAAATCCTAAAACTAAACACTCTCTAGCCGTACGCCTCTCTTCTCTAAAATCTCCTTTTACTCAAAATCAACGAAATTTTATCAGAATCTTCGAGCTTTTCATCTCCTAATCCTGTTTTAATCATCAAATCTTTCAAAACAACATCACATTCCCTCAAATCTGAAAATTTTCAAGGTAATGTTTTAAAAAAATCTATTTTATTGATTTTTGATCTTAGGACTAGTTTAAATTAGTTATAGGATGAACATTATATCGGGCATTGATTGTTTGATGATTATAAACTAGATTTTATAACTAATTTCATTAAAAACTCACAAATTTTTAATAAATTTCTAAATTTTCGAGAAAAAAAAATCGAAATTCTGATTTTAATTTTTAAATTTGATATTTTTGATTTAATTATGTTGTTTTCATGAAAACTATACATATTATGATTTTTCAAAAATTATTTTCAAATAGTTTTCAAAACCTTGCCAATTAGGATTTAATTTAGAGAACCTTGAATTATTGAGGACTCAATTGAGTTTTAGGATTGATTAAATTACATACATGTGTTTCAATTTGCAGGTTATATTCATTTTTTCGATTCCTAAACCATATCTAATCTCAAACGCCCTAGAACGTCATCGAGTCGTTCTCGTTCAAACCAACCTCCAAATCTCATTCCTCCTCTACCTAATAGTCTAATAGGATCCTATTTTGATATGCCTGAATGTCGTAGAGACGAATTGTACTCTAGGTACAGAAATTCTTTCCAATCCTATAGAATCCGAGAAGAGCGTATTCCTTCTCTTCAAGCCATGATTGATATTGACTTCGAATACCTTTCGATTCTTAAAACTTGGAAGTTTGATAAATTATTTCACCTCAAACCTATCGTCTATCAACAGTTAGTCCGCATCTTCTACTCCAATGCGGTATGCATTTAAAACCAAACTCAATGTGGGACTATAGCCATTAGATCTTATCTTTTAGGCCAATATATTAATATTGACCCCGAGATTATAGCTTTTCGCTTTGGGTTAGATGATGATGGGAATGAGAATGAAAATGTGGAATATCCCTATGTTCCAAACTCTAGTGTTAGTACTCTACGATCTCATCACGATCGTTTTCTTCATTTGATGATCTCTTGGTGGTTTAGACCATCCGGAGGTAGGTACTCCACTCTTCGTACTAGGGATTTATGGTGGATGCACTGTATTAAGAATAAGATCAAAATAAATCTGCCCTATATTATATTTAGTCAACTAGTGGACATCATAAACATTGTTCCTTCAAAACATATCAAACCATTGATTTATGGATGTCTTCTTAGTAACCTTTTTATCAAACTCGGTTTAAACGTCTCTCTCGATAATCCTATCCCTCTCCAAAATCAAATCAATCTCACCTCATTGAAGAAAGCAGATTGGAAACAAGACGAGGAACCGATCTTTGGGTATTTTGACCCGGTAAGCAAACTCCGGGAGCTAGTTCTTCACGAGCTGCTCCTAGCTCTTCTCATGCTCCTCCTCCTCCGGCACCGGCTGCTGATGATGATCCCGAGTTTCAACAACTTATGCAAGATATCGACGATCATGTACCAAACGATGAGCCTGCACCGGAACCAGCACGACAAGAAGATCAAACGCCACCCTATTTTTGATCTTTCTTGGAGTCGTTTGATCTGAGGTTTACCTCCATGGAGTCTCAGATTACTAAGTTTCAGTGGGAGATGCGTGAACGAATGGACGCTATCACTCTTGAAGTTCGAGCTCATTATCCTTCTCCTCCCGACCCTCCTATGGATTAGACCTTTTCCATGCTTTCTTAAAACTTGGATTGATATTTGTTTTGATGTTTCTGAATTATTTGTTTTGGATTGATAAATGTTTGAATTTGTTAGGAGTTGGATGTTTTATGGATTTTGAACTTATTATATATATATTTGGTTTGATTTTATCTTTATTATTTTGAGCTTAATGATTATTAATTTTTGCATCATATTAGTTCATTATGACCAATTATGTCATTTCACATTTGATTATGAATATTGATTATGAAACTAATGGCTAATCTCTCTTTTGATTTTGATCTTAGCAGCTTAAGCTATATATATATATATAATCAATTGGCTATATATATATTTGATCTATTTTAAGTCTTTTTTATTTAACAAAAAGGGGGAGAAGTGTTAAGTGTTAAAATGTTTTAAAAGGGAGAAGTGTTAAAGTAAGGGGAGTAATTTCAAACTTAATTTTTCAAAACTTATTTTCAAAGAAAATCTTAAAATTACACATGTTTTGTTATATCAAAAAGGGAGAGATTGTTGAAAACATTTTGATGTTTCGATATAACAAATTAAGTTAAATGAATTTTAAGATTTTACAAATGATTTTCTAAATATATTCGATTTAATTACTCGAATATCAAAATTATTATTCCAAGTCTTCAAGATCAATTTCAAATCTTACTAAAAGTGTAAAATTATGTTTTATACTTAATATATTTTGAAACAATTTTCACAAAGTATTTTCAACCAAAATCAAGTCTAAAATCAATTTTTCAAAGTGATGCACCGATGCACCAATCCATGCATCGATATACCATGGAATAAATTGAACATCGAATGCATTTCATGCATCGATGCACTCAGAGTTTTAAGAAAACATTGAATGCATTTGATGCATCGATGCACCAGTCATGCATCGATGCACTCTGGCTATTTTGAAACATCGAATGCATTTCATGCATCGATGCACTCTTAGTGCACCGATGCACTAAGGGTCCAACGATCAAAATATTTAAATTTTACACTTGATGCACCGATGCACCTTGGGTATGCATCGATGTGCTGACGCTCTCAACTGATTTAATTAATTGTTTTCACACTTAAACGGCTCTATTGACTCCACTAATCATCCCCAACATTCAGAATCATTTGGAGGTGTATTTAAACAAGCTTAGAAGCCATTGATCAACAACAAGAATACACAAGAAATAAGAATCAAGAGAGAATCAAAGAGAAAGCATCAAACCTCAAGTTTGAGCAATTCAAGCATATTTTTCATTCAATATTCATTTTGCTTTCAAGAACACTACTTGTACTCAATTGTATTCATTTTTGAGTGTTCTTTTCTTTGTTATATGAATTGTGCAAACAATCTACCTTGTGAGAATTTCCTTGTAAGTTTGCAAATTTGTAATCTTCTCTTTGAGAAAGAGTGTTCTCAAGAATTGGGGTATATTCTTGAGGGAGTTATAAGGTTATCTCTTTGGCCTCAAAAGAAAGAACAAATTAGTGAATTTGTTGAAAAATTCTTAGTGTGGATAGCTAAGGTAGTGGACATAGACTTTGATTGAGAAAGTCGAATCACTTTAAATCGTTGTGCAAATCTTTTCAATTTTCTGTAAAAGATTTCACCAAAATTTTAATTGTCAATTCACCCCTTTTGGTCAATTTCATCGATCGATTAACTCAACAATTTTCTCTCTCTTTCTGTTGTGTGCATGCTCATGCTAGTCTTCTTTGAATGATTCTTTTCTTTTACTTTCTGGACTGAAGATTCTTGTAATAAGAGATTGACCTTTTTTTTAATACAGTATCCAGGGAGCTCCTCTGGGTTATCTAATATTTTTTGCTGTACCTTTTATTTTGAAATCAATTAACTGGTCATGGTCGTGGTCAAATTCGGTTCTGCAAGAACTGCTGAAATTATACAATGGAGAGCTACCATCAATGAATTATGCTGCAAATACTGGAAAGAGGTCTAGGTTTCTTGAGAGATGCGTGTCAAATGGGTATCAGATTTTCTTTTTTTCCTTTTTAAAGTACTTCTACATAGTGCTAAAGGTTTGTAGTTTATCTGATAATTATACTTAGCTTGTTTAGAATTTGGAATACAATTATCAAAAAGCATCATTGTGGTAATAAATTACACATTCAAAGAAGCTTTTAATTGTATAATTTTTGTTACTGCAGAAAATGTTCTACATTGATTCTGAAGTATAAGTCCAGTGAAGGCTTTGACTTTGAGCAGGTAGGCTTCATTGTTTGTTTCTCTCCCTTTATTATCACTATAAAAGCTTATTTTGCAGCAGCTGTTCTTCTTGACCTTTTGCAATTTCATACCAGTAAGGCAGTAATATTATTCAATAACTTGTCCTTTTACTTTTTATCATGTTGTAAACTAAAGAAATCTGTAAGGTACATTTTCCTAGAGAGGCTTGCTATATGAGTGGCTTGATTTTATACCTTCACACTTCTTTTGGCCATGTAATTTTGTTCTCGGTTCTACATTATGAGTAATTTACTATGAAGAAGTTAAGCATTTTTTTATCAAAATTTATTGCTAGCTGCATTTATTTATTTCAATTATCCATGAACATTCAAAAAGGAAATGTGCAAATCCTTTTGTATTTTCTTAGTATCTTTCACTTGATACTTTTGCAGGTTATAGCTGCAATTACTTATCAAATCATCCCTGCTGACGCACAATTGGCCAAGATCCCTCTTGCCGCTGTTAGTTCAATCTACCAGAATAAGGTTTGTTCTCTTTTCTATTTGTTTTGCACTCATTGGTTTGCTGCTTGTTATTGTTCAAAATATCTTTTCTTCTGGATTGCCCGAGGATTGGACTTGTACCTTATCTCACAACGCTATGGATTGATGTTTGTCAAATTATGATAATTGCCTCATCATGTGCTTCAATAATCTTTTTCTATTCGGTGAAAATTCAAAAGCAGCTTGGATAATATGAAAAACCATTTGGAATTAAAAAATATGGAAATATAGTTTTAAATGAGTGAATGTTCTTTTGAGGGGGTTTGGTTAAAATCTGCAGGAATTTCGTAACTTATTGAGCTCTGCTCATATACATTACGGCTGTCTTATTGTTGGATGATAGTTTAGGTATCTCATGTTCTAAGCTAACTGTCATATTTCAATACTTCCAGGGTATCGGTCAGTTTTTGTATATGGAATTGAAGAAGAGACTTCGGAGTGTTGGTATCCGGACCATATTTTGTTGGGGTGACAAGGAATCTGAAGGTTTTTGGCTTAAACAGGTAATGAATGGAACATATCATAACTGGCTGACCTGTTCATCTATTCTTAATGTGAATGAGAATATATCTTGTTCATCCTGTAAATCATAACTAATTTATTTAACATACACCAGATAGTAACACACTCACTATTTGAATGGTTGATAAGAAAAAACAAAACAAATTTTGTTTTAAATAAAATTGACTATTAGGTAGTTTTTTAATTTAAAAATACATATATATCCTTAAACTTGTATAACTGTTAGTAACTTGGTATAAATTATGTTAACTCTTGATGTGAACTTACTCATTCTTTTTAAAATAGTATAGATACAGATAATTTTGTAGATGTGTAATTATTTCTTACTTAGAAACAAAAATCATTAGTCATTCATGCTGAAAAAAAGGCTATTGCTTTTTTGATGCTCGATTTCTGTGATACTTGAAAATTCCAGGGCTTTATATCAATAACAGAAGTGGATGAAAGGGGTAGAGCTTGTCGGCTTCCTATTAGAGATTTTATACGCAAAGCCCTATGCTTTCCTGGTGGTTCAACCCTTATGGTTTGTCATCTTAATAAGGATACGTCAGTTGCAGGAGAAAATGTAAGGTACTGTTTTCCACTTAACCCTTGCCAGAGGTCTCAATCACCAACCGCTGACGGATCTGTAGGTGAGAAGGGAGCCAATATTGCTGCCAAACAGTGTTCTTGTGCTTCACAGAGAACAAAGAGGAAGGTTTGGGAAGCTTCATTGTCATCTTTGAAGACACAAAAATTGAAGGGAACTCATCAAATTGACAGTCATCAAAATGGCTGCCAGTAAGCTTCTGACTGGCATATAATCCCAGATATTGATGGTTCCGAGCTTGTTGAATTCTCATTCCTTTCAACAGATATATCATCCATGGCAGTTACTCCTGGGATTTCTTTGGTTAATAATTGCATGGTAAATAAAGCTCAAGAAGGTAAATCACGTTCTATGACTCCAGAAGCACTGACAACTGAAGAATTTCAGCCACATAGAGAATGCTTTAGAATTATGTTGATGAATATTGCTGATGATTCAAAGAAAGCAAACCTTATAAAGGTATGTTCATTTCATTTGATGTGAATAATGCGTACATGTAACGACAAACTGAGTCCTTTCATACTCTGTAGGGGCTGACCATAATTGTGTCTTATTGCCCAAGCTGAAGTCTTATTTAACTTTTTTAATCCTTTCCAGTGTTTAAAATGGTGCGCCCAAGGCGCGCCTAGGCGATGAGGCGACGGTGAAGCGCCTATTTTGGCCTGGGCGAGGCGACTTTGATCAGGCGCAGCCAGGCACGCACAAGGCCCAAAAAGGCACCGCCTTTCCATTTTCTTTGTTCTTTGGGTTGTGCTTATTTGTTGTTTGCTTGCAAAAGTTGAATTTTCCAAGTTAGGGGGAGTGACACATGAAATTTAGTTATTTTAATGTTTTTTTACTTCAGAAATATTTTAGTAATTATAAGACCTTATGGATGGCTAAGATTATAAGTTATCTTTAGGGTTGTGCTTATTTGTTGTTTGCTTGCAAAAGTTGAATTTTTCAAGCTGAGGGGAATGACACATGAGATTTAGTTATTTTAATTTTTTTTTACTTCAGAAATATTTTATGAATCTAGGGATAGCATTAACTTTATTAGTAACCTTAGTATAGATAAGTTGTAAAATATTTACATCTATATTATTCTTATTATTTTCTTGAATTAATAGAAAGAAGCTAGTAGTTTTAACCCTAAGTTTCCTAAAGTTCCACCTTTCTTACTCGTTTGTTCAGCCATAATTTATTGATTCTTATTATTTTCTTTCTTGTTTAATTGCTTCATGTGCATTTATACATTCTCCTTGATTGATTCATGTTGAATTTGAACATTTAAAGAATCATATTATTCGTATAACACAATTTTATTGAATGTAAATAATTTTGAAGTGATGCTTAATACATAAAATGTTGATGATGAATACTCTTTGGTGTTTACATTGCAAGATCTGTTCTTTTTGCTTGACTATACAACTGGAAAAAATCCTTATATGAGTATATCTTTTATTTTCAAAAAATGCACCTCACTTCAATAAGGTGCGCACTCACCTCGGCTATAATACCCTATCGCTTTGGAGCCCCTTGCGCCCTTTTTAACATTGATCCTTTCACATGATTTTATCTGCCATCAACTAGCGTTTCCACAATAAAACAACATAAAAAAATAGCCTCCGAAAGCATGTTCCCTAGATTGAGTTAAGAAATTTGCTTTACTTGAAGTCAACAAACCAGCTGCTGAAGAAACGAAAACTCTTCTTAAAACAATTTTGCACTTCTCCGGTTCTCCCGTTTAAGGTGCAGGTCTTTCCAATCTCTTCAACTGAATTTTTATGTTGTTATGTCTTCTTCTAAATTCAGAAATTTGCAGTTTATATTATTTGTTACAACAACAAGCTTCTTCTAGGATTCCTCTTTTTAACTTTTTGATAGCTTATTGAAGAGATTGTAAAACTTGTATTTTCCTTTGTTTTGAGAAAGAACTTGTTAGAACAATTGAAGTCGTAAAACTGCACAAAGGTGACTTTTTTTTCAGTGTTTATGCAGGGACTGGGGCTAGGAACCCACCTATGTCTTGACAAGTGAACTTTTAGGATCTAAAAGATGTGACCATACATTGTGCTATAAATTGATTTTCAAAGCCAAAAGCTTGGTTAAAGCTTCAAGGGAAGCTCACCAATTATTCTTTCTTGGGGGTACCAGCAGCTCTAATAGATCCTAAATATCTAAATAGATCAATTACATACCTAACTCTGGATTACAATAGGAAAGTCTGGCTTGCTTCCTGAGTGGTTGTCTAGTCTATTACTAAATGATGAAAATCTTTTATCACGTAAGCTTTTCTAAAGTTTTTAAAGAACTTTATGCAGATCTTAATTCCTTTCCACTGAAAAATGCATTATCGTTTAAGTTTTCTGACTCTGCAAGTTCTGATTGATTAACCTCCTTTTTCCCCTTTTGCATTACATTGGCTATGTTTTTTTCTCAAAGCTGACATAGCTTTTTAACTCAGCGATAGGCTTTGTTATTGTTTTACTTGGTTCAGTTTACTGGTGTTGAGAATTTGCTTCAGTTTCATTTACCCTGTAATTTTTCAGGCTGCCTTATTTGACAAAAATGTTTTAAGAATTTTATTTATTTTGATATAGGTAATTGAAAACCTTGGTGGCTCCCCTGCCCTTGATGGAAGCATAAGCACACATGTTGTCACTGGAAAAGTGAGAAAAACACTGAATTTCTGTACTGCTCTCTGTTCAGGGTAAGTCTCAGTTGGATGTTAAATTGCTTTGGCTTTGCTTTCATGGATAACGTGAATATGTTCAGGGTAAGTCTCAATCTGAATAAAAAGAGTTGAGATTTGAGGGGGGAGAGAGAAAAGGGTGAGGGAAGCTGAATAGAGACAAAACGGAGGGGATGATGGTACCTAATTTTAAGATAGTATCAAGTAATTTAAAGATATCTACTTTGCAAGAAATTAGGTAAAGTATTTTCTTTTGTTCAAAGGTTTGGTGAAGCTTTCTTTTACCGACATTTTATAAGGTAAGCATTTCTGCAATACCCTTGGATTCCTTATTTGGCTTGAATATGGACTTCTATTTGCTACTACATCAATGGCAACGTAGTACTGATAGCATAAAAAGCAATGCTGTTTAACTCATGTTTAAATGTCACGAAGATCAACTTGCATGCTAGCATTTTGTATCATAATTTATAAGCATTGTAGAAAGCATTATTATATCCATAAAGATGGAAACTTTCATCTTTTTTTTTAATTTTGTTTGTTTCTCAGCTTGTTTCATTGCAAGACTCCTTGCTTTGACTCATGGATATTTGAACATAAATACTTTTGTTTGCACAAATGCATCTGATGCGTTTTAGATTCACTGCATGGATGTCTGACTTTATGCCAGGGCTTGGATAGTTTCACCGAGTTGGTTAAAAGAAAGCTCTAGGCAAGGAAAATTTGTGGGTGAGTTGAGAAGAATGTATAGATTTTGACCGCTTATCTTTGGTAAACTGCTATGAATGTTTCAACTTTTCTTCTTACATTACAGATGAGTTGCCTTATATAATACACGATGAAGATTACGCGTTGAAATACAGAACCGAGCTAAAAGATTGTGTTATTCGGGCAAAAGCAAGGCCTGGAGCTATGCTTAAAGGATATAACTTGTGCATTGCAGCTCATGTTCAACCCCCTGTCAGGACTCTTTCTGCCATCATCAAGTCAGCAGGTGGAAATGTAAGCTCTTGACATGTTGCTTTGATTAAGTGGTGATTTATTTGTCCAGCATAATTAAAACGATGATTTACATCATCAAAGTAATCTGCCAATGACAGCTTGCAGGGGGCAGTTCTCGATTAATTTTGCATGAACTAATTTTAACCTTGCTTGTTTAGATAATTTATGATTTAAAGTTGGGTGTAATTTCTCTTTATTCCTCCTGATCAACTTTATGTGCTGTTTGCTACATGTGATGGTATTGATGTAAGATTATTGGTGGACTGGACAAAGTAAGTGAAGCATGGAAAAAAATCTTCATTGCCTGTGAAGAAGACATGGAGGAAGCACTGTCAGCTCAAAAGAGAGGGATACGAGCTTTCAACAGCGAGTGGTTGATGAACTGTGTGATGAGACAAAAGCTAGACTTGGAAGCTACCCAATTTGCAGAGTCCTTGTAGGGATATTTGGTAAATTAAGGTACAACTTGTGTTTTCATTGTCCCCAATGACTTTCCTTTTACATACATGGGAGGGCATTGCAGTTTTTAGGATAACTTTTTTTTTATTTTCATTTGTAAATTTATAGTACGAAGAAGAATTATGGGTGAAAGATATCGGGAAAATGAATCATGCTGGTGACTAGAAAGAGTTTTGCAAAATATTATTGGCTGCCAGAGAAACTACCATCCTATTAGATATAAGGAATGGACAAACACAAGAATTTTGGTAGTGGGTGCGAACTGAAGTTATATTAAAAATTTAGTGAGTGCAAAATAAGATAATCAATAGAAAATACTAAAAAAACCTAAAATATAAATAAATTTAAAACTTTTAGAAGATGTGATTGTACTTAATAGCGGATTCATTGGCATTTTGATCAAAATTAAAATTGATAATAGTTGAAGAATTATTTTCCAACCAACCACTAACCTGCCAAGGAGAATTTAGAAAAACCAAGAGGATAGACATAAGCTTCATCACTGAGCTCAACATTAAAACTGTAACAATACTCGTGAACAATTGGTGCAAAAGTTTCCCCCAATCAAGCTCATACTCTTGAGCGTAAGTCTAGAGGCCTTTGGGATCCGATCAAGTTTATATATAAGATCAATACATTTTAAGTTTGTTCAAATTTGGGATGAGTCTACATTACACTGCTAAAGTGGCACATTAAAACACTTACACTATCATTTTTATTTTGTTTTAGCACCAATATTTTATTAAATCAAAGAAATTAAATGGTGACATGTGTCACCAACTATGAGAATAAAATCAAAAAAATTATTCTTGCTCTTAGCATGAATTGAATCTAAGTCTCTTACATAAAATGTAAGGCACTAAACCATTGAGTTAAGCTAGTCATTTAAATTAAATTCACTACATTTTGTATTTACTTTATATAATAGTATCACCACAAAATTAATATTTTCCGATGAATATAAAACTCGAATATGTGACACTTTAAATTAATTATCAAAAACTTAGTCATTCATTTATAATGCATATTTATTTTTATTATATCAAATTTAATACTTATATCATTACTAAATTAAAGAGTAATTTTCACTTTATTTGAAAAACAAAAAATAACTAAATAATTATTTATATATATTTATAAATTTATACTAAATTATTCTAAAAAAAAGTGTAATATTATAATATTTTTAATTTATTATTTTAAAATCATATTATTTATTTATATATTTGAAAAAATATTAATTATTTATTTGAATTTTTTAAAATTATTATTTAGTTTTAAAATAATATTATACGAAATAAAGTGATAGTTTAATACCAAACCTATAATATATCTTAAATTTTAAATTATTTAAAATTAAATAAATAATTTAAAAATAATATTATTTTAAATAAATATTAATATGATTTTATAAATTAAATATATATTTTTATAATAATTTAAATTTCAAATTTTTGCAATTAAGACAACCGACAAATTAATTAGTACCGAAAGGGCAGTACAAGGGTACTAATCATTCCTTGACTGTAACCGACTCCCGAACCCGACACATTTTTGGTAAAATGCGGATCAGGTAAGATGGTGTCCGATCAGCCTAATTTTTTTTTTAAATGATCGGTGGCGACTCTAACAAATTTTTTAAGTCGAAGCCCAATTCTGAGCCCACCTGAAAGACGGCCGCGACAGTTTTAAAATTAAAAAAAAATTAAATCTTGACCCCTAATTTCTCTCATTTAATTATATTTCAAGACTTAATATTAAAATTAATGAAATTAAACCCTCTTAATTTGTACGATTTAATTACTTTTTAGGAACATGTTTTAAGGCTTAAATATAAAATAAGTGTCCATATCATACCGTTTTTCACAAATTGGTACCTAAATTATTTTTTTGAATCATCTAGATGTCTAACGTTACAAACGTTACTACTTTAGGTGTCTCGATTCTAACGGTCGTTAAAAGCCTGTTAATTGACACGTATCATAATCTGGTAATTTTAGAAATTTATTTAAAAAAACTTAAAAATATTTTATTTTTGAAAAACCCCCCATTTTTTTTTGTCTAAAATACTATAAAAGAACATGAACTCCCTAAATCTCTAATGCTACCCCATTGTAAACCCAAAACATCTTGTCGTCGACCACCCCATTACCACCGTTTGCCACCAGGTGCTTACTCATCGGTCTTCAAACTTCACTACCAACCATCCCATCGTTGTCTACCTTAAATCCATAAATTTCTCTAAATTTTAAATCAACAAATATAAAATCTCTAATCCTCTTTTAATATCTAACCCTTAAATTTCACATTACTATCGTCGTTTCATGTCCTTATCGATGGAGAATCTTCACAACGTGTTACTGCGAATGGAGTGCAGTATTGGTGCGTGGGTAATCCAATTAATTGGGTTTCAATTGCAAGGGGAAAGCAATTGCGCAAAGGGAAATCAATTGCGTGGGTAATCAATTGAATAAAATGTGATGATAGTGGCGGGAGGGTCGGTGATCACCGACGATGATGGCATCAATCGTCAGATTCCACTTCTGGCCATCCGTTCGTTCGCTGCCGACCAAATAGGAAATTAGGTTTTTGAGATTTAGGAATTTAGGATTTTTATGAATTGTTGGGTATTTTGTGTAAAATAGAAAAAGTTTAAGGGTTCTCTATAAATATTATAATATTTCAAAGTTTCTTTTAAAAAATAAAATTTCCAAATTTATCTGATTATGACACATTTCATTTAACAGGTTTTTTAACAATCGTTACGTCGAAACACCTAAAATGATAACGTTTGTAACGTTAGACACTTGAATGATTCAAAAAATATTTTAAATATCAACTCGTGAAAAACAATATAGTTTAGACATTGAAGTTTTATTTTAAAGTTAAACAACTTATCATTTTATAGTTCAACCATGTTTCTAACAATGATCGAGTAGATTGGAGACTTTTAGAATTTATTTTAGGGTAAACTACCTTGATGATTACTCATCTATTGTCATCCTTTCATTTTGACCATCAATATTTTAATTTTGTCAACCCATTGAACTATTTAAATACTTCAATCATATGATTTTAGCTAACTTTTAATAGAGGAGGTGATGTGGTAGTTAGAAGACTAGATATAATTATACATTTAATCTATAAAACTTATATATTTTATCGATTTAGTCTTAATTTAAATTTAATTTTTAAATATAAACATCCTATAAGATAATGACACATGTCATTATGTCAATAAATATTTTTCTTAATTTTAATTTATTAATTTAATAAATTTTCCATCCAATCAAATGATGATAAATGTTACCAAATGAGTGAATGGAAAAAAATTGCCAAAAACTTGGTATTGGGTTTTAAACTTGAGAAGTGGGGGTATAGAGGAGTGTTTTAACCATGGTTATCAAAACGGACCGGACCGACCGGTTGAACAGTGAATCGGTGGCCTGTCCGGTCCGGTTACCTCACAAAACCGGTCTGACAATGAACCGGCTGAAAACCGGTAAAACCGATTTGAACCGTCGGTTCACTTTTTTTCTTTAAAAAAAAATTAAACCAAACGACGTCGTTTGTTCAACGAGCCAAGTCAAATTCGAGTAATGCTGAGCTCGACTCGAACTCGAAAACTTTAAAAGTAAGCTTAACTCGACTCAAAAACTCACGAGCTAAGAATTATCAAGTTCAACTCGAATTTGAAATATAATATTAAAACTTGAACTCGAAAAGGCTCGAACTCAAACAAAATTTAGAAGTTCGATTGAAGCCTAAATTTTGAGCTCAATTGAAGCGAAAGAATAGTTCGCTCTGTGCTCACCAAAAGGCTCCATGATTTTGAATGTCAAATTACCTCTATTATTTATAGAAGTAAGTTGGGATGCTCTTCTATGTTTCTTAGCCATGTGGGGTTGTTTTTTTCTCATATTTTTACTCTTTAAACTTTTGGGATGCTCTTCTATGTTTCTTAGCCATGTGAGATTGTTTTTTAAAAAAAAATTAAACCAAATGACATCATTTGTTATGATTTTTTAAGCCCCAATTTTATTATTTTGATTATAGTTATATAATTATATTTATTATTTAATATGTTTTACCTTAAATATTATGTTGTAGTTGATTTGAATCAATTTGTTTCACTTGATTTTATGGTTTTTAATTTATATATGTTATGACTTAAAAAAAGTGTTACATATATATTAATATTGCTTTGAATATTATGTAAAATTAAAAAAATATATTATTTTATATAAAATCTTGTTCAACCACGGTTGAACCAGTGAACCAGTACCTTCACCGGTTCAATATCCGGTCCAGTTTTAAAAACATTGGTTTTAACAACTGTGCTATACACTACAATTAGTTAACACAATACAACATAGTATATATGATATAGTTAATGACAATAAAAAAAGGAAAAATGACCTATGAACTTGAACCTAGACTAATTAAAGAGTATGAAACATGTAAACCACTAAAATAAAATAAAATATATAATTAAATTAAAAAAGTAAAAAATATATAAAAAATTAATTGTAAAAATATATTTTAAAAATTAAAATTAAAATAAAATTTAATGAGGAAAATAAAAGGAAATTAAATTTAGTTTAAAAATATATAATATTATAATTTTTTTATTAATCTTGTATTAAGTATGGTTCATTATATAGAAAAAATGTATTCATGTATTAATTGCTTACCGAATTTTATTTAAGTGGTTTGTAATACCCAAAATTTTGGTCGGTGGCCAAAATGCAAATTTTGAAAGTTTAATAGTCAAAGTGTAAAGTTGAGAAAAGTTCAAGGACCTAAGAGGTAATTTTCCCAAAACAATTGGATAGTTTATTCTTGAGAGGGGGTTTTATTGAAATTAGATTCTTGATCCGAAATTTGTGTTAAAAACTAGAAAGTGTTAAAGTTTGATTAAAATTTGATAAATCGAATCGAATAGAAATTATGGACAAAGTTGGAAAGGGCAAGATAATTGGTAAATTTTTAATTTCTTATTTATGATAAGGTTTATGTGGCTTGGTATTAAGGTAAATATCAAGTTTCATTAAGGGTAAAATGGACATTTCTTATTAAATAAACATTTTATTCATTTAAGCTTAAATAAAGGCTAAATTG